AGGTGCGGCTCTTGCTGCAAAAAGTCTGGCAACCCCTGGTCTAGAGTCTAGAAATGTATCACAGAAATCTCCAAATATGTAAAACATATAACAAAGTGTTATACAATTGTTCAAATATACAAATGTTATTAAAAATTATGGGTTGTAAATGAAACACGGACATGTTTTAGTTTTTTTTTTATGGAAAAATGGCACATAGTATATTATGTACGTATTGTATATTACATATAGTTGATAATCATTTCAATGTCTAGATGTATAAACTAACTTATGTTCATCACATAATCCTCTTTTTCTCTTATATAGAACATATTTTTTTTCATTTGTTTAATATACGTAAAAACACATTTCGCATAAAACGTTTATACAATTATTTTTTTTTCTCAATGTAAGCTTTACAAGATTTGTATGTAGTAGTTTCCTCTTTGCACTAGTCGAACACGTGCCCGAGTTCTTATCCAATCGGAGATCGTGCATCCCAACAAAAAAAAAAGAACATGATCACATCCCATCTCTTTCTCCCTTTACAAACTACAAAAATATAATTTATAGAACGCTCAAACAATTTACAAAGTAATACAAAAATTGGTGGAAATGCACGATTGCCGCATCACGATGGAACTCGAGCGCATTATTTAAATATATATATCATATATATATATATATTGGATTCTCGCACCAATATTTTTGAAAATTTACAATGTTTGTCTGCCAAAAGAAAAAAGAACATACTTTTTTTTCCAATTCAATCGATAATAACAGAGTAATAATAAACAGGATTATAAATATAAATTATATATTGCTGCCAACTGAAATTTTGGAACGCCCTCTTTTGGTGCCTTGGCCTCCCTGATCTTGAATATTAAGAACACGGGTGTCTCCATTTTTTTTTTGTACAAGAAAATATACTATGCAAATTTAAACAAAAAAATAAAACAGATACAAAAAATAAAACACATTTCTTGTACTAGAGAAAAGACAAATATAAAGTAAAAACATAAGAGATATGCAATTTACAAATAAAAAAGACTTAAGCTACTTTAATAGTTTTAATCATCTCATTGCTATGACAACATAATACTGCAGTTTCAATATACTTTTTGCTCGATTTGTTCCTAAGTATTCAACATTTTGTTCAGAGTCTGGGGATCAATTATTAAAACTATTAAAATTGAGCCTTAACAGAAAAAAAAAAAGATAATAAAATAAACAAAAATAACTATTATGTATATATATAAAAAGTATATAAATAAGTATTCACTAAATTATATATATATAAAAAAAAAACGAGCTAAAAGATAATTACAATTCTACGTGTTGTTGCTATCCGTAAAAATGAATCAAGGAAGTTAAAAACTAAAAATTATATAAACTAAATATTTGCGTATTTATATGTATATAACATAAAACACGAAAAATTAAACGTAATAAAAAAAATACTCGTGACAGATATATTACAAATATATGCGATCCACTTAAATCCTTGCACTTATTTCTTTCGTTCTTTTTTTTTTTTCTTTGAACAAAGTATAAATCTTATGACAATATTAATAAAGTTTTAAGTCAAATAAGTAAATATATTACGCTCAGAACACAATTACTTTAAAGATCTAAAACAGGAAAAATTTTCGTTTTCCTTGTTGCATAAAATTAAGATAAAATCAAATTATTTCAAGAGGGAGTCGCGACTTTTTTCAGACCACATACATACACATAAATATATATAAAATCTTCATTATAAAACTCTTTATAATTCATTATTAAATAATATGAATAAAAATAAAATATATACAGCAAAAAACGCTCGCTTATAACAAGAAGATTTAAAATAAGTGGTAGGAGAGTATGTAGTATGCATATATTTCGGTGAAGGGTGATTATTCCGTTTTCGCGTCGATCATCATTGGTCGTTCGCGCCACTCCCGCGCGCTTTTAACCAAGGCAAATTCGATGGTAATGTATGAATATGAACATTGGTAAAGAGGATTTCTATCGATAGAAGTTTTTCAAATTCTTCTTTACGTGGTTTCGTCGTTGTCACCAATCCGCGACGTCGCTTAACCGAAATGATGAAAATAAGAGAAGAGGAGAGATCGATTCACATTTATATAATATAATAACAAGTGGCCGAAACAGGGTGCACGCGCAATTAAATCCTAGCCCCCAACAAACGCAAGCCTCATTTGGCACTAATTCTTTAATCATACACAATATACAGATATGATAAGGCTCGTGTTTCAGAACGGACGAAATGGTACAACGTTAAACCACATAAAGAACACCCACCGCGCGCCGTTTTTCCAGGCGAAATCTATTTTCGCGCAGAAGAAGGGCACCTCAACAACAGTTACTATTACCATTGAATCATTTACATTTTCAAAAATTAATTAAAAAAAATAATAATCAAAATATGTACAACGAAATTTGTTTTATAACAAGTTTTAATTAAACAAAAAGAAAATATAAATATATGTATATAAGAGTGGTGGGAGAAAGAAGAATGTGGCGATTCGCATAAAATTTTCACAATACTGGCGCATATTTAACATTGTATTTTATTTTAGTCCTTACATATTTTGTTCTTAAAAAAAAATATTAAAAAAAAAAGAAATCGGAAATTTTCGCCTTCGCTTCATTTTATCTTTCCATTTATCACTTTCCCGAAAGAAAAAAAATAGAGCCTCTTCTGCGAGTCCCATCATCCACACACACACAACATTCTTCTTTAAAAAAGGTTCCTTTGTATTGTCATGGATTAATGTATAATATGCATATTATTATTATTATCTTTAAAGCTAATAGTTTTGGTGTTCCCTTTTCATCAAAATACTCTTTGTCTTTCATTATTATTTTCGTATTCATCAAACACGAGTGCATGAAGGGACTCGCGGAATTCGAAATGAAGATTTTCCTTCAAATGGTTCGATTATCTGTTAAATGTAAACAAAAAAATAATAATAACGCGAGATCAATGAATTACTATATTTCTTTTTATGTTCTTTTATAAAGAAAACGTACTGTCACTTTTGGCACTGTTAAGTATACAAGTAAAATAAAGAGTAAAGCGAGAAATTAAAAAAAAATAATAATAAAGACAATAATTTTAAATATTTTACATAGTGTAAACTTGAATTTGCTCTAAAAATCAAACCATTTAAAGGAAACATAAATAAAGCGAAGTTGATATAAACAAAACAAAAATAACGTTGTTCTTCTTTCATTTGTTTCTTTGCTTTTGTTTCGTACGTAGGTATAGTAGAATTGTTCTAAAATAATAACTAAACGATGAAAATTAAGAATTATTACACAGTATCACTACCGAACGATTCATATCTTTTTAAAAAAATATAATATAATTTATGACATTATGACGAATGGATGAGAAATGGATGCCGTTATTTGTACGAACATGTGTAGTATGTACATTTTGGAGTTCCAACCACTAGCAAATAGTTTAGTCCTATTTAGAAAACTTTAAATAAAAAATAAACATAAAAACAAAACGGAACCACTAGCAATGCTATTGTGGCTGGCCGGGATTGTGAGGCAAGTTTGGCGGAGGTCCCTGAAACACAAACAAACAAACAAAATGAATTATGAAAAGTGATGAGTGTAAAAATTTAAAGAATCCAACAAAATTGTGTAATCCAATCTTGAGTTTGAAATATGCGACGTTGATTACTTACAGGTATGGTGGGGTAGTGAGAAGACGCGGATAACATGTGATGAGGAGGTCCAGGACCCAGTTTCGGTCCATCTTCCGCTTTCTCTTCTTCTCGCCTCTTTAGGCAAGCTGCCTTTGGATTTAAATTCCTTTCTAAAAATTTGGAAAACATAACAGAAAATCAATCAGTAAAAGCGTCTTTCTATGGATCAACGTCAACTTACCTCTAACTTGTTGTTCTAACGTCATTATCACCTCTACGGCCATATTTAAGATGCCTAGCTTGGTTTGAGGTTTATCCGTCTTCAGGTGTGCCATACACATTCGCCCTAATTCCTTTAGCGCCTCGTTAATATCACGGATACGTATCCTATACACACAGAAAACACGAACAGGTCATCAATTAATCGGGCTGTACAATTCACCGAGAGATGTTCTGTATTAAAAAAGTGAGGAGAAAGAGATGGGAGGGAATTGCGGATGAGAATTGTAAATAATTAAACGAGAGTTATAGAGAGTAGTACATATGAATATAGGCCAAAAATATTGAGCGATTATTAATGAGTAAAGGTGATTCTGAGTGAGTGAGTGCTGTTTTATACCTTTCTCGGGCATTATTAGCCTGCCTCCTCTCCTTTTCTCTTTGAGCTTTAACGTCGGGATCTAAATCACCCTCTTCCGTTTCATCCGCACTGGAACAACTACGCAAGATATTGTTTTTTGTTAGTAGTCCACTACGACCAACTTACAAGAAAAAAACAACAACAATAACATAATAACTCGTTGTGTTAACAATAATCTGCGCTACAGGAGTTTCTTTATTTCTGTTTCTTTTGATTACATTCTGTAATAGCACGCTCAACTCTCGGTGGAAAAGGAGGGTGTGATGCCTCGCTTCCATCGTGTATTTATTATGGCCCATATTCAAAGTGCACATAAAATAAAGAATTAGAAGAAAACAAATAAGATATTAAACAAAATTAGGAAGTAAATAGATAGATAAAGAGATATTATTACGTAAACAATCAGTATTAATTCTACACAAGGTGCATGCCGGTGGCCAATTCTTAAAAGCAAGCATCTTATAACCAATCCATTTACTTAATTACTTGTGGTTCTCGTCTTGCACCTACATCGTATCCGCAAAAACAAATAACTAGATCGGGCATAACATTTGCGTTTTTTTGAATATGGGCCTTCTTTCCTCTCATTAAACGTTAAACAAAGTGTTAATTCGTTTACAATATAAATACACACATTGTAAGGTATTACGTGTGTGCATTTATATAACTGAATTGAAAGTATTTGATACGTTTAGGATTTCTTTGTGTGTTATAAAAATGCGTGCTATTACATACCGTTCCCGAACATTGTTGGCCTGCCTGCGTTCTTTCTCACGCACGGCCTTGTTTCCAGGTTCGTCAGTTTCCTCCTCGTCTGTCGCGCTAAACATTGTTACACAACAAGCATCAGCAAAACAACATAAACACAGATTCATACATACGACATTCTTATTTAGATAATTTCTAAATAACCGAATATTCAACGAAACGACGGCGCGAACAGATCCATCACGTCGACGTTTCGCATTTCATTGAATAATATATTAAATAATTCAAGCGAGCAACTTACTATCTCCTAGGTCGTTTACTATTTTTGCCACCAGGAATACCGCTAGTTGAATTTGCACTCTCTACTGAACTCGAGGGTTTCGTATCGCTATCTGGAGGTTCCTTGCGTTTCTCTGGAAAAACATCAAATACATCAATATATTTAGACGAGAAAAGTGGAGGCGGAAAATCATTAATCACGTTATTTGGAAATAAGAAAGTTATGGGGAATATAAAAGTTAAGAGCCATTAACACGTTAACTGTCCGATACATGCAAACGCACGGTAATCTGATTTTTATGTGACCGCAAGCTTCAATTCATTTAGCGACAGTTAACGATGTTAATAATACAGTCGAATTCTATTACAGCTTCGTTTATATTGTAGTCTTAGAGCTGTTTATAATACAGTTGAACTAAATATATTTTCGATTGCACTGGAAACTCCATTAAACAAGATTACATTTTTTTTGTAATAAGTAATTCCCTTAATTAATTTGTTATTAAGCATATATTATTAATTAATTGAAAGATTTAACATTTGACTAAATGAATTATATTATAAGTATTTCAAAAGTAATGTATATTAAATTACATTTAATTGGGGGTTAAACGATATTTGTAAATGTGAGTTCCCATTGCTTGCATGTAAGTTTGAACCAGTCAACAATAAAATCGCATTTCTTTGGGCAAATTTTATTTTAGTCGCGTTGACTTACTGATGTTGTACGTATCTCGCTCAACTTTAATAGGAGCGGCTAAATGTGATTCAGGTGGTGGTGGTGCGTACGCACCTAACGTTGTCATCTGCGGTGGTCCACCCAGATTCGGAGGTAATTGTCCCATTCCCAGCTGCGATTCTGCGTGGTTCCGCAAAACATTTATGGCATCGTCTAGTCTTTCTTCCATACGTGTTCCCTGTTGAAAGAAAACGAAAGAAAGGCATGTTAATTGCAATAGGAGAGAGAGAGAGAGAGAAACTATAGTTTCTGATGGTAAAAGCAAAATTATAAGTAAATAAAAGAAGCTATAATAGGTCAAAGCATGACACTTACGCTAACAACCTCTGCATGGTCCCTTAAGAAGCCGATGGCATCGTCTAAACGTTGAGCTTCTGGAGCGGGGGGCTTCACAAAACAAAAAATAAACACCATGCAAACACAAAAAAACGAAAATAGGGAAGAAATAATAAAAGACAAACCAAAGTCCAAAGTAAATAAATAAACTAATAATGATCATCATCATCGCCAAAATCAAAACTATGTAAGCTTTCAAGCTTTAGGAGCAAACAATTTCAAAACCAACATCTATCGCATTTCGAAAATCCATTCATATTTTCATAAGAAATATTTGTCTATAAACACAATTGGACTTCTTGTGGTCGATAGGAGGTCCTTACCATGTGTAAACCCTGAGCTGCTCCGCTGTTGGTCACAGCCTGTGTGTAGTGTGGAGAATGTGTTGCATTGTGATTTGTGATCCATCCCGATGGAGCTAAAGGAGGTGGCGAACTGACCGGCGTCGATGGTGCAGAACTATAACTACTTGCGCTAGCCTGTTCTGCTAAAGGGTACATCTGCAAATCGTAACAAAATAAAGTTTAATTGATGGCTCCAAAAAGGACGTTGTTGTTGTTCTTGTCTTCTTACCGCACTCAGCGCTTTGCTGATGCCGTCTGTATGTGTGAAGGGAGGATTCGTCGGAGGAGCTGTCGTAGCTGGGGTCCCATTGGCACGGAATGAAGACATAGGCGGTAGCCCTTGTCCTTCGGTTTCAGGTGTTAATGTTATTCCATAGGCTTCGTACTGGTACGGCGTGCTGTACGTCGTCGACCATTCTCCGACGGAGCCGGGCGCACCGTCCGCGCCTCCTAGGTAGTAACCGGACGTCCCCGTCGCCGGCGACGTGTATCTGGGGGAATCGTGGAACTCGTCCGAACCATACTGTGAACCAAAATTGAGACACATAAGCAAAACGAAACGTAAAACATAAAAATACAATATATCCGCAATCTGCTGAATGGTCAAGTACGAGGGACGAGATAATAAATCCGTCACAGATACACACACATATATATATATAAATTCGGGGAGAACTACCCGGGAAATCCTTTATTTTTTGCCTGCCCTTCGCTTGCTCCTTCGGCTCTTTCCCTAAGGAGGTGGAGCACTAGGGTGGAACCGCTATTTATGGCCAGTACGTGAGCCGCAGATAAAAATCGAACGCTCGATATAAAAATTACAGACATCGGAGTCAATAAAACGCATAAAAACCAACGAGTTCGGAATACAGACCTCCCCCCAACCAAGACACAAAGCAAGTATACTCCTCTACCTACTACCGTGCAGATGGAGAAGGAAAAACGAAAGCGCGCCCAGCCAAATGCTTATTTAATTACGAACATAAATAAAACTATATCCAAGATACTCTCTGACCTGGAACCGTCCAAAAATAATAACATTCAACAAACACAAAATGTTCTGATACATTCGACAAAAAAAATACATATATATGTAATATATTTAGATGAAAGCGTTTGACACATCATTAATCTTGCTAATGAATTGCCGTGATAAGATAAGCCAATACTCGTCAGAATTAAATTTAAATGTGAAACGAACTGCGTAACTAACACATACATTTTTGTATCCATTGATATTCTGTTATCAATATTCATCCAAACCTACCACCCAAGTTTCCATTAATTAATACAACATAATCATAAATTAAATACGATTTAAGTTATTTCATAAACTATCTCAGTAATATGTCTTAAATAGTTTGTACAAGATGTGAAATTATAAAACACCTATGAACATTAATCGAAATATATTTGCCGTAATGTTTAATTTCATACGTGACATAATCTCATTTTTGCTCAAAATAATGAGATCTTGTAAGAAATTCTGGCTATATCAGCGTGATTTCCGTGCCAAAATAACAAAATAAGTAACCAATTATATGCGTTATGTGTAAATTACCAAATAACTTTGTCTCTGTGACAGTCATATTGCAAGTACATCTCTATTGCTTGCACATCACATTAGTTGGTAATTATCGTAGCTTTAAATTTCTCACTATTTCTATATGTAGAGTAGGAATTTTGTGATCGCAGTTTGCTTGAGAGTACCGAAACTAGTGTATAGTTCTTATAAGAAAATGGAAGCAAGTTGTTCTTAATTAATCTAAATAATGAAAGCCGCAATTAAGGGTAATTCGAAGTATTCGAATCCATCAAAGTGTATTCATTAAAATAATTAGTTTTTCCCCTTGCGATGGTCGCCATCGTCCTTTTATAATTAATGACGCGTTTATCTGCTCTGCGAGGAGACGGTCAACTGCAGTCCATTATTCTTTCATCATATTCAAATGGTAATTGCGTGATTAGTGGATGCATACGAAATCCATATGCACGTCGTTGGGGATATGGTGGTCATCTACACCGATGATACTAAGATAGGATGATCTCGATGATGATGATTATTTCCGGGAATGCGAAGCGCGCTGTCTTCCGAAGAACATTCCGCGCTGAATAACAAGAAATTAAAACGATAATAAATAAGAGGAGCCGCAGTTTGAAAATAAATCTTCCCGTTTTCACTCCTCTGGCAGAGGAGCGAGTTGCACGGATTACGTCACTGCCCTCCCGTCGTTTCGTCGGATCCGTGTGTGTGTACAAAACACTACGTACGCGCGGTGTGTGACCATTTTGGCCGCAGTTCTTTCGCTTGGCAGAGGAGAGGACCCGAAGACGCGAGCGTTTATAAATAATTTACGATATGGATAAATTTAGAAAATATTCGAACACTTAGATTATATCACGCCCAAAAAAGAAATTTGTACCAGCCTCATCGCTCGATACACAATCTTTCTCTCCGTCTGTCCTCTCTTTTAAATTTTCGCTCTCTCTCTTCTCTCCCTCTTTCCCTCAGCTTCTCGCAGTAACGCGGATTAATTATTAATTCCATTAAACATTTAAGATGTGGCGGCCGCAATAAATTAAAACCCATCTCGGTTCATTAAGTAATGAGGGCAACCACCCAAAGAGAGTCGCCAAAGTTGGGAAAGGAGCGGAGCAAGAGAGGACCGAATCTATTTTTGTCATTTCATAAACCATAGATAGAAGGAATGCTTTTAATACATACATTTAAAGTCTCTACAGTACCATCCCTCTTCCACCCGCCGCTCCGCATCTCTTTGTTTTCTACTTTTTCTCTTATTCTTCTTGTTCTGCTCTCTCGAAACATCACCCCGAGCGGTTATACTACGTACACATTTTACGGTCAAAGCCGAAGAATAAAACGGAACGCTGTTTATAATTTCACTGTTGGAACAATAAATCCAAGAAACCCTATACTAACATCGAAACAGTCTGCTCAATTTCTTTCGCGCCGCATCTCGCATATTTACACACAAATGAAACGCTCTCTCCGTCTGGCCACTCGCGAACACTAATTGTTCTTCTATTTCAACAAAACTAACACACACACATCTATCGACTGATTTACGATCTGCTAAAATTTCAGGAAATTGAGGAAGGTCATGGTTTTAACCTTCATCTTCCGCCGTAATTTACACGTTTTCTCATCTTCGCAATTATTAATAAGAATCGTAGCGTCTGTATATACAAATAGAATAAAAAGAAACACGGCTTTAAGACAAAAATACATTAATTAGAAGTTAGTTGTGAAACATAAATAACTTCGCTTCATCTCCAGTTAATAAAGTGCGCTTGATATGTATCATAATGGTTCTATTTTTTGTTCGCTTAGTGCGCGAATATATTATATACATATATAAATTACAATTTCATAATAATTCTATTTACGCGCGAATCGAACAGTTTCGAAACTTGCGCGTCTCCGCGGACAACGATGCATGTCGCACCTTCGTTCTTTCTTCCTTTTCTTTCGTTATCCTACTCCTCCTTTTCGGTTGTTTCATATCCTCTTCATCCGTGTATGGGCAGGACCCATCGCCGAAGCAGATGATCATTCGCCATCCATCAATCAATGCCTTCATCAATTTATTATTATTTAATTATAAAAAATTGAATCTGCCGGCCCGAGGACGAAAGGACGTCGAGGGACCAAAGTTCAGATCGTAATGTGAAATGCATACATCCACACACACATATACCCCGACCACATAATATACATACTGAACATTCAATTCGATCCTCGACTTGGCCGCATGACTGACGTCCGGATTCGGACTACTATTGCATTTTGATTTATCGTTCGCGACAGCTTTCTCCTAAAATCGCGTCACACCCTGCGAGATGTTTCCATTTTCTTATAATTGGATAAGCCTTCTTTTGTTCTAAGATAAATTCAACTTTCGGTCAATGCATAAAATTACAACATTTAAATAATTGTTTTAATTATTTCCGCATTAACACTGTTTGAAACGCATTCTGTATCATTATTAGAACTTGTCTGAAATTTGTTTCAAATATACATTCATATAAAATTAACAATATTAAAAATTTTATTCCTCTAAGCGCAAGCAATTCATTATTAACATTTGTGTAATTTAATTGGATTATTAATATCAATACTCTATAACTTAATGTAAATTGACATATATTGGAATAACATTCATAATTTAATTGAACTGTTACTAAAATGATTGTTTTTCATTTTTATGGAAGTTTACTACAAAAAAATAAAACACTTTTTAAATAAATTTTAAATATTGTGAAACTTGTAGACAAACGATTGATTTGAGAATGTATATTTACTAAAAGATGTTGAAAAATACTTCTGGTTGCATACAATAGGGGCTTTAGCATGAATATTTTATATATATGTATGGAGAAGACTTGTAACTGCAAAATGGTAGGATGAATACTTGATTAGAAAAGCTGCTTAAGAGGAAAAAATGAAGAAAAAACGTAATACATAACTACTGTGTTTTAATTATTTCGATTAGTTTTGGAATCGTCGATAAGTTAATGTTATTTAATGACCTGAGGTAAACAGAGTGAAGATGGTAAATTGAAATATATAATATTTATAAGATTTGTAACCGGAAGCCATAAAGCCGTCGCCCATACAAATAAATGAAATTATACCATCGTAATTAAAGTGCGTAAACAAAGTAACAATTTTATTTTTAAATGCTTTCGTGGAAAGCGCAAGAGAAGGGAGGAGACGCCGGGCGTCAGCTTTTTATCACTCAATTGCGTTTAATAACATGATGGCGACGCGCTGAGAGGGATGGCTGGAATCGGCATTAATTGAAACGTGCACATGGATGCTGAACACTGGGTGATAACGGCTAATTTTGGTGCATTATTACCATTTGAATGGATACATTTCGGAAGCGCGCACAATGAGAGCCGATACTCTATTTCCAGTGCAAATATTTAAATCATCGTCGGGTTCGAACCGAGGAGCAACGTCGTCGCCCCCCCGGGGTTGAAGAACAGAAGAAGACATAGGCTGTTCCCCAATGAAGCGCGTGAGAACGCCTCGGAGGACATGTAAAATGCATTAGGAAATTCTTAAATATGCCTTCATTTCAGTATTTCATGACGGATAATGCAGGTACGTTCGAGCGTTCCGTTTTCCCCCCCACAAGAAGAGAGAACCATCGAATGAATGATGAGCTTCGAGTAGCTATTTTTAAAAACCGTCGGTAGTTTATTACCCCTATGTATTTAGTGCAGTTCATTGTTCCCAGTTCTTGAGGTGGATGAGGAAGCGCGCGGAGGGGAGCGGCGGAAGCCTCCGCATTTGTCTTCAAGACAATTTTCTGAAATATTACATCCTTAATAAAGACTCCACATTAAAATGCAATTCCCTCCCTCCATGTTATTCCACGCCGAACCTCGAGAAGGTAGTTCCGGTCACCATTTTTCTCTCGTTCATTTAATTGCTCTTAATGGAAACTGTAAAAACTAATTTAAATTGCATCACTTAAAGCGATCCGCATTTTA